GGGGAGAGATAGCATGGGGAGAAATGCCAGATGTAGGTGATGGGGAGGAAGGCAGCAAATCACACTGCCACGTGTGTTCCTATGCAACAATCTTGCATGTTCTTCACATGAACCCCAAAACCTAAAATGCAATAAAAAAAATAAATGGAAAAAAAAACAGTAAACAAAAAACAAAACAAAAAACAAAAAAACAAAAGAGCTGAGCTTGGGAGGCTGGAAGAACAGCAGGTTTCCCACCCAGCTTAGGGGCTATGGACTCACACCTCAAGAAAATCATGAGAGGCCCAACCAGCCGCACCCATCCCCTCTCCAGCTCCTGGCTGCAGCCACTCCTGACCCCAGCCCAGCTGTGACCCTGCAGACGTGCCACAAACCTGGCCACACTGTGCCTTCCCCATGCCACCCAGCCCCTCCCAGTGTTCTGAGTGGATGATGTTTCCTGTCTTGAGAATTCAGGTATCGGCCCAGCCCCATTCCAAGAGGCTCAGCCTTCTGCTGTGGGATCCGCATCCAGCTTAAGCCCTCCTTGCTGGAAGGGCTGCCTGGGCCCAGGGAAGGCTCTCCTGAGCCACCCACACGAGCAACTGTGCCTTTCTCTCCGGCTGACGACACAGGTGGGGAAGGGGGTGAGGAGCAGGGACAGCTGTGCTCCAGGGGCCAATTGTCGGCTACCCTTTGCCTTAAATCTCCTTCCTCTCAACAGTTATTGGTAACACCATCAAGTGTTGATGAGGACGTGGAGCAATCAGAACTCACGCAGAGCTTAGTGGTGAGAAAATAAAATGACACAAGCACTCAGGAAGCAGGCCTGGCTATTTCTTTTTAAACTGTGTAACAAAATTCACTGTTGTCACTGTTTTCCAGCATACGGTTCAGTGGCATTAAGTGCACTAAGGACAGCTCTCACAACAGACTCACACCCACACCTGTGTCCCAGCCTGCTCTGTCCACTGTCTCCATTTCCCCAGGGCGTTTACTATTTTGAGACAGGGTCGCAGCCGGTTGCCCAGGCTGCAGAACAGTAGCACGATCATAACTCACTGCAGCATCGACTTCGCAGGCTCAAGTGATCCTCCCACCTCAGCCTCCTGAGTAGCTGAAACCACAGGCGCCACCACCATGCCCAGGGCCGCTTTTAAATATTGGCAAAGGCAGCAAGGCTCACTCGAGTGCCTGGGTCATGTTCTACAGCTGTTTCACTTTGGTTACTTTCACCTTGACCAGGAATCTTCCAATGCCGTATGAAACCTCACCAGGACCAGGAAAAGAGAAGGGTTCCCTGCTCAGACTGGACACTTGTGGGTGGAAGGAGCAGCCCCTCCCAGCAGGCCCAGCTCTCCTCGATGCAGTCTGGCCTCATTTCCCGCCCAGCCTCCGGCTAAACCCCTTCCTGCTGTTCTGAGTCCCTGCTATGCTCCCTGGGGTCCTCTCCACCCTCCTGCAGCTCCTGAAACCCTGTCCACTCTGCAAGGGCCGAGGCATACCAGTTCCTTCCAGAACTACCCCATTGTCTCCGCCCTCTCCTGGAACCTCACAAGCGCCCTGCACGCCTCTCTGCCTTGCCTGCCCTGCCCTCCTTGGCATCCTGGACTTGCGGCTTCTCTGCCCGTTTCCTATGGGACCCAGCAGGAGGCTGGGCAGAAACTTGGGTCTGTGGGACGCCTGCCCCTGCCCTGGGCAGGAGTCCCCACACTTGCAAAGTACGTTTGTGCTGTGTGAAAAACTTAAAGCAGAAATGTAAGAACAAAAATGGACACTTCTGAAAAAAGAAAATGTTTGAATAAAAGGCAGAAAGACAGGGATATCGACAATGGCTCTCTAGGTCACGATGGTGGCAGCAGCGTTCCTGCTGACCAGCACCCCTGCCCTGCACAGCCACGCTGGGCTGCTGCCGCCTGTCAGCCTGTCTACAGGAGGCTGCAGAGTGACCGTAAGTGCCTCTGAAATAGCATCAGTTATTTGTTAGCTCATCTCCTAGGGAGATGATACACAGTTTTTAATCCCGGTGAGTCTCTGTACCGCTTGTAAGATAAAATTAAATTACAATGATTTAACTGTTGAATAAGCTTATGGAGTCATAAAAGAACTACGACTTTCTATCCCAACCTTCTGTTTGGCAATCAAAGATCACATGTGGAACTTCTGCAGGTGACCGAGGACCAGTGCTGGGGCCTCCTTCACACCTGAAACAAGAGGCAGGACTTCACCGCCAGGGGCTCTGAAAAGGAGATGCTGCAGGGTGCCACCCGAGTCCCACAGTTAAGGTCCTTTGTAGCCCAGTGTCCCCAAGTCCCTCCAGCATGCCTGGGACTGAATGGTCCTGAGTGGCTGGGGTAATTTTCCTGAGAGGTGGCACTCATCTGACACACACGGGACAGAACCATGGCCCCTGGTATGTTTCTTGGTGGCGGCAGTGAGGCAGGGACTCTACCTTAGCTCCAAGCCAGGGCTCTCATTACATGGGTGGGGAGCTGTGTGGTTCCAGAATAAATTACCTTCCCAGACCAGGTGCGGTGGCTCATACCTATAATCCCAACACTTTGGGAGGCCTGGGCAGGAGAATTTCTTGAGGTTAGAAGCTTGAGACCAGCTTGGGCACCACAACTCCTGACCTCTGGTGATCTGCCCAGCTCGGCCACCATGCCCGGCCTAGAAAAAAATTTTGACTTTGGTTACTTTCATCTTGGCGCCCCCCACCATGCCTGGCTATTTTTTTTTTAGTAGTGATTTTGTAAAAATAATTTTTTACAAAATTAGCAAGGCATGTTAGTGCATGCCTGTCGTCCCTCCTACGCAGGAGGCTGAGGTCGGAGGACCGCTTGAGCCTGGGAGGTCAAGGCTGTGGTGGCTGCACCGCTGCACTCCAGCCTGGGCGACAGAGTAAGACCAGTCTCAAAACAAGCAAAAAGACCAACTAAACAAAAGGGAATGAAGTACCTGCTCAGGAGGATGGAGAAGGGCTGGGGGAGAGGGCAGAAAAGGTATGTACAGCTCAGCATGAACAGGAGCACTTTGGTTTTTACCAAACAAGAAAAGACCCCAGCGCTCATGCACAGCTCTCAACCGGCCACTGCCACGGCCTGGCTCCTCCAGTGACACTTCCCCAACCAAAACACGGATGAGGGCTCCACGGCCCGCTTTATACCTCCAGGGCTTCCCAGCTGCCCATCTAGGAGCTGGAAGGCAGTCGCGTTCAGCAGGCCACCTACTCACCAGGGCAGTGGGTGTCAGGGCTCGTCTCAGTGACAATGCAGCCAGCGAACATGCCTTGGCTTCAACACATTTCAGCAGCACATTATTGAAATAAAGCACAATAAGCCAGGTGCAGTGGCTCACACACGTCATCCCAGCACTTTGGGAGGCCAAGGCAGGAGGATGGCTTGAGGCCAGGAGTTCAAGACCAGCCTCAGCAACATAGCAAGTCCTCATCTTAACAAAAAAGAAAAAATAAATTAGCTGGGCCTGGTGGTGCACACCTGAGGTCCCAGCAACTCAGGAGGCCGAGGCAGAAGGATCTCAAGCGTGTTTGAGGCTGCAGTGAGCTATGACTGCACCACTGTACTGCAGCTTGGGCAGCAGAGTGAGACTCTAGCTCCAGAAAAATAAAAATAAAAACCAAAATTTTAAAAATAAGGCAAAATGTTATCAATGGATTAAACTCTGAGACCATTTATTTCTTCCTTGACCTGCAGTGCTCGGTGGGTTTACCCGCCTCCAGCTGCCACCGTGGGCTGCCCTCCAGGGAAGGCCTGCCTGAGGCGGACCTGTCAGGCCAGCGGAGCCTACACCACGGGCTCCCGCAGACTCTGGCAGGCAGGGGCAAGAGTCTTCAGGTCGCAGGAGCTGACATTGCAGCCATCCAGCAGGTCAGCCTGAGTGACGCCATTGAGGCTGGGGGCCCCCAGAGCTCTGGGGTTCTCCCGCACGCCTGTCCTCGTGAGTGTGTCCTGGAGAAGTTCTCGGATTCTTCGGTTTTCCCTGAAGGTGGATTCCCAAACAACTTCAAGTTCACCTTCCATTTCTCTGAGGGAAATAAGTTTAAAATCGCACAATTAAAAAAAAATAGTATAGAGCCCACGTGAACCCCAAAGTAGCAAGAACTCAAACAGAAGAATGCTAACAGCAAAGAGAGCCCTCGGCGCCCGAGTTCTGCAGCCAGGGCTCTGTGTGGAATGAAGCGGCGGGGGCCCTGGGAATGGGAGCAGCAGGAAGGCAGAGGCTGCGAGGGCATTTCTCTTCCCGTTACATTCTGCCCTTGACTTTGGCATTAGTGTAAACCCCTGCGTTCTCTCAAGAATGAACTTGGGCATGTCGAATAAGGAACTGCAGGGCTGACCTTGGCCAGCCAGATGCTCTAGCACGATGGCCTGGGCTCAGGTGAGGTGCGTATTGATTCCAGAAGCCCAACAAGAGGAATTTTTAAAAGAATACAGAAAATGAGGAGCAAATAAAACTCAAGACCTAAAAACAAAACAAAAACTCAAGACCAGTATTACATTCAGATAAGAGTAAAATGTAAAAACAAAATTAAACTGTGGAGCAAATAAAACAGGCGCAGAGGGTTTTAGCAGAACCCTTGATCAAACATTCCGACCTCCCCGCGGGCCGCGGCGCAGGGCGGGCGCCCCACCTGTTCTGCCGCAGCGCCTGGTCCAGCACCTCCTGCTTGTCCTTCAGCACCTGGTGCAGGTACCGCATCTCCTGCCGGTACTGGGCTGTCTTGCCGGCGAAGTCCTCCTGCTGCTCCAGCAGACGGTGACTGATGTCCCCCAGCTTCACTGCTGCCTGCTTCTTGTAGCCCTGGTCGGGGGAAGGACTCTGAGTGAGGGGACACTGCCAGGCCAGCGTGGACGGTGCTTCCTGGCCGCACTCCCTGCCCACTCCTTGCATGTCAGAGCCTTTTAAATCTGCCAACCCCAGAAATGTTGGAGCTGGCTGGGTAAGTCTGTATCATAAAAGTATAAAAAGTGATAAAATAATTTATGGTACAGTAAAACCAAATTTTAATGTACATGAAGCCTGGTTCTTTGTATGCTAAAAATAAATGAAAACATAAAATATCACCATGGGGCGCAGTGGTTCACACTTGTAATCCCAGCACTTTGACAGGCTGAGTCAGGCGGGTCACTTGAGGTCAGGAGTTCGAGACCAGCCTGACCAACATGGTGAAAGTCCATCTCTACTAAAAATACAAAAATTAGCCAGACATAGTGGCACATGCCTGTAGTCCCAGCTACTTTTGAGGCAGAAGTGGGAGGACTGCTTGAACCCGGGAGGCGGCGGCTGCAGTGAGTGTGATCACATCACTGCACTCCAGCCTGGGTGACACAGTGAGACCCTGTCTCAGAAAAACAAAACAAAACAAAAAAACACTATCACAGAAAAAATGTTCTTGCTAATTCATCTACAGCTGTATTTTTTCCTGGACAACATTTATCCCTGAATCAACTGGAAACCTAAGAACTAACGCTGATACTGGTCAGCACTGTTTCACCCTGACAGGAAGCCTCACCTAAGAACACGAGGGCTGCCACTCTCTGCCGTCCGACAGACAGCGAGGTGAAAGCCCGTCATTTACTTTCCTTCTTTCGTTTTTACTGCATGGTACTTAAGGTTCTGAATTGTCCTGTGAGCACTTCTTAAATCACTGTCACAGAGAACCTGCCACGTAGTTCCATAGGCTCATTTTTTATAAGAAACTCTGACTTTCAGTTTATACATCCTCTCTGACCTAAGAATGGTTTAGTGCAGATTTTACACTTCTAAGTGAAATAACTTTTTGTTTTCTGATTTTGCTTATTAATTTCTGGTTTTCATATTGTGATCAACAAATGCTGGCTGGGCACTGTGGCTCACGCCTGTAATCCCAGCAGCCTCAGCTCACTGCAGCCTCAAACTCCTGGGCTCAATGGATCCTCCCCCATCAGCCTACTGAGAAGCTGAGACTACAGGCAAACGCCACCAGGCCTGGCTAACTTTTTTAATTTTTTTGTAGAGACTGGGGTCTTGCTATGTTATCCAGACTGGTCTCAAACTCCTGACCTCAAACAATCCTCCTGCCTGGGCCTCCAGAGTCACTGAGATTACAGCATCAGCCACTATGCCTGGCTCCATATGTTTTTTCTTAAACAAATGTGCAGTATTTTATTGTGTAGATGAACCAAAGTTTGCTGAATGAGGTGAGACGTGCTATTCTGCCAGCAAAATCTTACAATACTTTTACTCTGTGGATTACTAGTGACGCACATGCAAAAATGTGTCATTTTCTTAAACACAAAAATCCACACCATCTGAAAACGGAATCTGCAAGGCCAAGTAACTCCTCACCTTGACTTTTTCCTCTAACTTTCCCAGGCGAATGTTGCTTTTTAAGACTTTGTTGAGCACTCCATCCTTCTCACTTTCTAAACATTTCGCCTGAGGAGAAAGGTAATAAATGGACTCTCAGTTTTACAGAAAAATGGAAGTAATATTTCGCAAAGAGTATTACTGCTACTGCTCATAAGTAATCTGCATTCTACAACCTGTCCTGCCTCCCCGCCTTCCCCACCCACCGTGTGAGGGCCTGGGCCTCAGGCAAACAGATGGGAATTGGCAGGAGCAGGGCATGTGGGGTGCCCTGCTGGGCACCAAGAGAAGAATTCCAGCCCTAAAGACCAGGGGAGGCCGGGCGCGGTGGCTCAAGCCTGTAATCCCAGCACTTTGGGAGGCCGAGTCGGGTGGATCACGAGGTCAAGAGATCAAGACCATCCTGGTCAACATGGTGAAACCCCGTCTCTACTTCAAATACAAAAAATTAGCTGGGCATGGTGGTGCGTGCCTGTAATCCCAGCTACTCAGGAGGCTGAGGCAGGAGAATTGCCTGAACCCAGGAGGCGGAGGTTGCGGTGAGCCGAGATCGTGCCATTGCACTCTAGCCTGGGTAACAAGAGTGAAACTCCGTCTTAAAAAAAAAAAAAAAAAAAAAAAAAAAAAACCAGGAAAAAAAAAAAAAAAAAAAAAAAAAAAAAAGACCAGGGGAACGTAAGAGCCTGCAAGGGTTTCCAGAACGCATCTCTACTCGTATGGAATCTATCTATCTTTCAATCACATCCAAGGAATAAGTGCCAAGATGCAAGTCAACTCGTAACTTGACTCATTTGAGCAACTTCAAGATTAAGGATAATGTCATATGAACACACAATGTTGTTTCTCCAAGCCTTACATGAAAGGCAATACATCCAGGAGGAATGACATCATTTGAAGCCAAATGATTTAGACTAATATCCAGTTTGGAGACGACCTGCTAGATTCTATAGATTAACTATTTCAGATGCTAAAATAAGTAAAGGTGAGCATTTTTTCCAAGGTGGGCTAGTGGTGACAAGTTTGACTTTCCAGAAGGAAAGATAATTCACAGAGAAATTGCTCCAGGTCACATGGAAAATTTACCCTAGAAGGAGGACTTAAAAAGATCTCAGGCTGGACTTGGTGGCGCATGCCTGTAATCCCAGCTATTCGAGAGGCTGAGGCACGAGAAGGGCTCAAACTCAGAAGGTGGAGCTTGCAGTGAGCCGAGATCGCGCCACTGCACTCCAGCCTGGGTGACATAGCAAGACTCTTTCTCAAAAAAAAAAAAAAAAAAAAAAAAAAAAAAAAAAAAAAAAAAAAAAAAAAAAAAAAAAATCCCAGTATCTAAGACTACTGTGTCTCCCACAAAAATGTGATAAATGCAAGATGGTGGAGTCATACTTGGGGGGAAACTGAAAGTGATTTGTAGCCAGAGGTCCTCAGCAGAAACTTGCCAAGGCAGAGTGGAGTCCTCCCACTGCTGGTATATGTACAGGGTGGGGTGTGGGCTCTCACAGGTCCTAGAGACCAGGACGGGGTAGGGCTGGAGTACATGACTCAGTCCTGGGACAGGGTAGAGACTGGCAGAGCAGCCAGTACCACCCCTGGGCCTGGCAAGAGGGGTTGGCCTAAGCACTCTCAGGGTCAAGGGGCCTGCAAGGCCATGGGGATGTGTCCACCCCGCCCCTGGCTACACAGGACTGAGTGCCCTTCCCAGACATCCTGGCAGCTCCCATGCATCTCCCTGTATGAATAATGGTGTCTGCGTGGACACATGAGTCCCTGGTGACGGGTGGAGCCAGCATGGATGAAAGCAGCTCTCCCACACCCTTCATTTCCACCTTGACTCTGAGGGGCCTGAGGATTCTAAACTTGACAGCCAGGCCATTATCAAGGTCAAGGCAGGAGAAGGGAACACGTTTTACTAACAGTTCATTGGCTCAATGGGTAATGAACTGTTAGTAAAACATCGGTGCCTGCATGCACCACCCATGGGCTCATGACAGCTGTGCTTGGCTCACCCCTCCAACAGGACTGGTCCACTTGGGGTCCCATCCCCTGCAAAGCCTCACCACAGCCTCTACTAACAACTGCAGACTAAGCCATTGAGGAAATCACAGATACCACCGACACTGTTTACAGCTGAGGGAATCATATGGAGACATGTAGGCACACATTCAGAATCAAAGCTAATATGGCTTAGCCACCAACACTGTAGATACATGTATAGGAAAAGGCTTCCCCTATGAAAGCCAATACAAAAAATTAGAAGAAGTGACTGTTACACTTGATTTGCAGAGATCAACGACAGGACAAAGAAACATGAAAAAGCAAGGCAATATGACACCTCCAAAGGAACATAACTCTCCAACAACAGATTCCAACAACAACAGAAAGAAATTTATAAAATGCCTGAAAAAGAATGAAAAATAATGATATTAAAGAAGCTCAGTGAAATACAAGAGAACACAAATAAACACTATAAAGAAATCAGACAAGCAATTCAGGATATAAATGAGGAATTCACCAAAGAGATAGATATAACAAAGAACTAAACAGAAATCCTGGGACTGAAAAATTCAATAAATAAAATAAAAAATACAATTGAGAGATCAAGCAGGAGAAAGAATTTCTTCTGCTTTTGAAATAGTGAGATATAAAAGAAAGAGAAAGAGAGACAGAGAGGGAGAGAGAGAGAGACAGAGAGAAAAGGAGCAAAAGAAAGAGAAAAGAATTTTTTTTTTAAATGAAGCATGCCTTCTGGTATTCCAAGGGGTTAAAAGAAGTTTAATGGCATACAAAACCTATTCAACAAAATAATAGTTGAAAACTTTCCAAGTCTAGCAAGAGATTTAGAAATCCAGATATAGGAAGCTCAGATTGCCAAAAATGTCTTCTCCCCACGATATTATAGTCAAACTGTCAAAAGTCAAATACAGAATTCTAATTATGTGTGTGTGTGTGTGTCTGTGTGTCTAGTTACATATAAGAAACTCCCATAAGACTATCAGCATATCTCTTTTTCGTTTTTCTTTTTTTTGAGATGGAGTCTTACTCTGTTGCCCAGGCTAGAGTGCAGTGGCATGATCTCAGCTCACTGCAGCCTCCAACTCCCAGGTTCAAGCAATTCTCTGGCCTCAGCCCTCCAAGTAGTTGGGATTACAGGCATGTGCCACCACACCCGGCTAATTTTTGCCTTTTTAGTGAAGACAGGGTTTCACCATGTTGGCCGTGCTGGTCTTGAACTCTTGACCTCAGGTGAACTGCCTGCCTCAGCCTCCCAAAGTGCTGAGAGTACAGGTGTGAGCCACTGTGCCCAGCTTATGATGTCTTTTTCAGAAGAAACCTTACAGGCCAGAAGAGAATGGGATGATATGTTCAAAGGGCTGAAAGAAAAAAAA